ACTTTTGAAAGAGCTATCGCGATTTTTGTGAATTTTCCTTAATTTATGATAACCAGTGTATATATATATTCAACAAAATAAATAATTACAAGAAAGCACGAAGAAAGTTAAGAGAAACAATGAGTTTCAATTAGTTTTATTTATTGCGCATAAGCTGCAAGTAAACAGAACTCATTAGATCATTAGATAAGTTCAAAATGAAGATAAAACGAAGGAAAATTATAGACATATGCAAAAGGGGGGGGGGTATATCAATATAGCCAAAACAAAATATATTAATACAATAGTGTGAAGAGCACTCAAAAAAATTTTTTTACGCAATAAGCAAAAATAACACATAAAAACAAGAAATAAAATAAAATAAAAAGAAAAAACAGTATAAAACAAAACAAAAACTATAAATAGAGTAGCGAAATCAGATGTACTTACATGAACAGAAAATTTTTCAAGATGCAGTAAGAACGGCACTTTAAATTCCTCTAGTTACACTCAATTTGCGGTTTTCTTTTCATATTTTGTAATCTGGCAATCTTCTTGCGGAAATATTTTTAAATCATTCTTGAAATTCTCATTCTATGTATATATATATATATATATATATATATATATATACACAGATAGATAGATAGATAGGCGGATATTATTGGTTCTTGCAGCAGCTGTACACATACAACCACGTATATGAAGCAAACTATCATGGAAGTTTGAGAAATTAATAAAAAATATTAATTAATGCGCTATAGGTAATTAAAATTGTGCATTGTATAAGGTAGTATTTTAAATAAATTTCAGTATTATGAGCTTTATTAACATGTATAGTACAAATATTGCTTTGAATTTCAATCCAATTTGCATTATATGAATAAGACTTTTTTGCAATAAAATTTTACTTAACATAATAGAAAACTGAAATAATAGTCTAATAGAAGTAAATAAAAATTGCTGTAGTCACGAGCCTTATATTTTAATTTAATAAGTATCCTTTTTTTCAGGTGTCAATTTTGGTGGCTTTTACGTATCTAAGCTGTAAGCCTATTTAAATAAAGAGTATATAGATTCTGCTTCTTTGAAAAAATATCGAACGTCTTCTCTTTTCAAAAAGGTAAGCAACCATTTAAAATTTGTGATTCGAAAATATAAAAGTAATTACAAAATTGCGCTGTTGCTTCATTTAGAAAGCGCTTTTTTATGCTAAGTTTAAATTATATAATCACAAAAATGAAATATATTAAACATTTCTTTCTGCTTATAAACTGTAATTTTTTTCTTATGAAAATAATAAATCTTCGATATTATCAACTTTAGAAAATGTACTAGCAAATTTGAATTTTTGCCAACTAAATATTTGCATTATTTTTTTTATAAAATACTTGATAGGAATATTTTATTTTAAGCATTGTATGAAAAGTAATCTGTTAAGTCTGTGAAATAGTAGAATAAAATGAAAAAAAATCTTGTTCTATGATTCAAAACAAAAAATAGAAGCACTTTGTCTCGCCGGCTTAGAACGAATAATCAGGATGCAATTTCAGAGAAGGATTTTTTTTTTGAAATTGCTTTAGGTCTTTAGACTATCCGAAAAAATGACTTATACGTATTTTTTAAAAATAATATAAATACAGATAGTATTTCTATATAAGTCAACATAAGTCTTAATTATCAATCTTAAATTCTGTGATGAAATTAATTAAAATTGTAATTAAAAATAAATTAAAGCCTTTAAGCCCATTATCTTTTGATCATAAAGGAATTTTAAATTTGATTTTCAATTACACTATTTAACATTTCTTATAAAACCATACTGTTCAACTACTAAAAAAGCTATTAAGATAGAAAATCTTTGCTTTAATTTTTTTTTATATTTCAAAAAAATCGTGTGCCTATTACTTTTATATGACGTAAAACTGTAATTGAGCTTTTGTACTTAAGACAATGAAATAAACTGAATATCAATTCTTTGTTAATTTAATGAAATAATAATTTTATTTAATATTCTTTGTTTAATGAAAATTATAACTTGGATTATAAATGAATATCTCTCTATGATTGTCTCTATTTGTCAAGGTAAGTATGAAATTTCAATAATATTTTTTTAAACATTAAAGTAATGTTTCAAGCAATTTCGTGTGTAGTTAAAAATTTTATGTGGTAAGTGAAGTCGTTATTCCGGATTGCATATGTTTTATATAAGTAATATATATAAGTTATATAAAAAGATAGAAGAGCAAATGTAGTACAAATAGGTAAGTACGAAAATTTGTTTTTATTAAATGTTTATATGTGATTTCCATAAATTGTCGAGTAATGAGAATAACAGCAGTGAACAAATATGAAATGAGAAAAAATGTTTTTGTATCTAATGTTGTTAATATTCTTGTTAAAATAAAATGATAAACTGTGCGATTGCATTGTAAATATATCGCTCAGACAGAAATCTCAAATTGTTAAAAAAGAAACCCATTTGTGATGAAAATATGTATTTTTGCATAAGCGACAAGTAAATGTTATTATAGATCTATTAAAAGATCCATATTTCTAGCTTTACTTAAATAACTAAATTTTTAGAGAATAATGTGAATTTAAAATATATGAAATCTAAGCATCATTACCTCATTTTAACACTAGAAGTGCCGTTGACACTCATCCCTCACTCATCCGTTGACATTCATCCATTGACACAAACACAAAAACACTCATCCCTGTATTTTAACACTAGAAGTGCCATTGGGGTCATTTTCAATGTTTTTTACAATTCTTAATGTTATTTTTGAAGATACAAATGAGCTTAGAAGCTCATATTTTTCTGATTTTTCCTAACTTGCCTCGAAGTATACTATAGTAAAATTTCGTGCCTTTCTGATGATTAGTAAAATGAATAACTATGGGAATACCTAAAACAGCCATAAGGGATCACTTTGACCCCTATTAGAAAGATTTATGTCTGTTTTTCATTCTACAGAACTGGAAACATCATGAAGATGATTTTTAAAATAGAAATTAGGATCCCCAGTGCTAAAAAATATTACGAGCAACAATTTTCGTTAAATTATATAATATTTTAGATTCGATTACCGAAGTAGCTTAGTTTACAAAGCTACTTTGTTTCTATTGAATTATTATTTCGTTATTACGTTTGAAGGAAACCATGTACACGCTGATTATAAGTGGTTATATTTGTTACAAACCTGGACTATATAGTATAGTTGGGGAACAGTTATACCCATGTAAATAATAATGAAAATTCATTGTATGATGTTAAAGTTACATAAATATGATTTCAACTGATATGAAGTCCTAAAAATAACTTTCTTTTGAAAGCTTTTTTGTGCATGTTGAAAAAAGTGTAAAGGATATACAACCTGTGAAAAGTATTGTACTCTAATTATTGAACCACGCATTAACTGCAGGCGCAGAGGAATTACTGTATTTTTCCTTAGCAAACCTTGCAGGTGATTTTTGTTTCATAAAATAAACCTACATTACTGGAATACTACTGATGAACAAATGAAAATGCTCTCCCAATTTCAATGCCTTTTCTTCTTCGTAACGATATTCATGTTTTGTACTTCAAAATGAAGATTAAATAGTTACTAAATAGGTGCAAAAAAATAATACCATAATTCTAAATATCATCCATGCGAACGTATTTGCGAACGGTATTACAGAGTAAAAACGAAGAACTGTCACTAACTACAATAGTATTAAATGTGACGTAGGCTTAGCTGACTAGATTCTAAGGAATTATTCTAGAAGAGATGAAACATGCAGGTGTCTTGCAATTCTTTACAATGTTTGTCGTAATGCTGCCCTAAATGCTTGAATCCTTTGTCACCCCAATTACTCATGGCTAATTCATTCTTGCATTTGTTTAAAAACTACAAATTAGTACTTTGCACATCAGATAGCCTCTGATTGATAAAATTCAGTCCTTAAAATATAAATACCATGCCTTTTAAAATTACAATATACAGAATACTATGAGAAATGCTGGAATATAATTTGTCGATGTTTTTCTATGAACTTTCACGTCACGCGAATGTGCTGTATATGTATGAATGTGCTGTATATGTATGTCGCTGAATGTGCTGTATATGCATGTCTGCGCTAATGACAAACTAGTGATGTAACTTACCATTTTAAAACATGCGGTGTGCTAATGTATATTATTTATAGATATCTGAGTTTTTTTTTCGTATAACTTGTACTCTTGTGAAAGAATTATCTGCAATACAATACTACATTATAATGTAATATTGTCATTGCATTAATAACAAAAAGAAAAGAGAAAGAAATCTTCAAAAACTCTTTCATATCGTATTTTAAACAATAATCTTCATTTGAAAAATCATTTAATTTGAAATAACATCATTTTCTTATGAGGGTTAAGTCGACCCCAAATGGCGATCCAAAGTCTGGCTGTTATTGAGTTAAGTTAAGAAAATGTACAATATCTGAGAATATATATATGTAATACAAAAATTAAATACTTTTGCATTAATAAAGGAATTAAAACTCTTTCGTTTTCATAAAATGTCTTTGTTAAAGAATAAGCGTAGAGAGATTCTATTTTGGGAATTCAAGGCTGAAAACATACCATTGAAATATAAATAGATTTATATTTCAAAGGAAGAGTTATTTTTAGAATCGTTCCCTTTTTCACTTCCATATAAGGAAGCGGAAATGATTTTCCTTAATGCGTAAGATAACAAGGAATGTACGAAGTGTGCCTTTTTACCTCAAATCTGTGTTGGTATAAAACGTAAGAACGCATAGTTTTGCGCGTCCTTTTCATCATGATTTGATCCTGATAAGCTGTTCCGGAACTGTCCGGAGTCTTGTCCATGCACCCTCCTTTGCAAGAGTGGGGACGGGGACTGTTATCAATACCAGCCTACCTTTAAACCTGTTTAGAACGTATGATGGCTTAAGACTGCAATTATTTCAAGCTAAATACAACACTGATAACAGGGTTGGAGCCCTGTTATTACAANATATATATATATGGTTTAGTTTTTAAAGTAAACTTGTATTATAATGACATTCTACATTATTTTTGCTCTCTCTACTAATTATTATGATAACTTTAAAAAATGTTATTTTCTTGATATAAACTCTTGTTTAGCTTGAATATAAAAACATTTCAATAATCTATACGTGTAAGCAGGCAATTTTTAATTGATATGCACAGAATAAAGCTTATTTTTTCTATTTTTTAACGAAAATGTTAGTTTTAGAAGGACGTGACTTTTAAATTAACTTGTATTTTAGTGACATGAGGAAACCGTAAAAAGTGCAAAAATTACTTGACCAAAAATATATATAATATATATTGCTACCTATACTCGATGCAAAAAGAAAATTCTTTGCTTCAATAACTTATTTTTTAACTCATTTATCATCTCTTGTTATCTTTTTTTTTACTTTTTTATCTTCTATTATCAGTTTTTTTTTCTTTTATCATATAGTTTATTAATATCTTTTAAAATTTCTGAATATTAAATGAATTCATCGTTCTTCATCTATTCAGCTAAAAAATTGACAAAAAAAGTTTTAATTTTTGCTAAATAATAAAATATGACAGCTGATTTGAATATTTACTGACAAGGGAAAAAAATATCAACTTGAAAACAATATAAACTAGGATAGATTTTTTTTCTTTGCTTTTTTTCTAAAAATCGATCATTTTAGAACTCACCATAAAAAATACAAAATTGTATTTTTTTGTCATCTGTGTTATTTTAAGTGACTCACCTATAGCTTACTAATTGATAGGAATCAACACTAATGAAGTTTTGCAACATACATTTAAGACATAATTCAGTAAAATGGCAAAAACTGAAAACCTTTTAAACGGTTGAACTTTGTACCCAAAACTTTTTACCATTCTTTAGTTTTTTTTAAACATAACCAACTCATTACGTTTAATTAGTCTTTCAAAACAGTAGAGTGTGTTAAGGGTTTTCAACCAATTAGCTGACATTCTCTGGTCTTTGCCAACTCCCATACACTTAATATTTTTAATTTTCGCTTTAAACTCACATTTAGCTTACTTCTTATTAAAGACCATTAAAAACTGTTGCTCTTTCTAGAGGGAAAAAAAAG